CACACACAGAGACACTTGCCTTATTAACTACTACTCATCATTTGAGGTCTCAGTTTAGATACACTGGATAAGCCTTTCAGACATTTCCCATTATTGGGTTATGATTACATCTTATGAAGTCCATTGCATTTGCAGTTAGCTTTATCACAGGGCATATTACACTGTCTTGTTGCTATGGTAGTCCTATCACCTAAGTATTTGCTGTACAAATGCTGAATATTTCTGAGCATTTATAAAATAAGTCATGGTGGGTTCAGGAAAAAAAAAATTTTCCATAACCTCTTATTTAGTGGTATATTACCACTGCTAAATTCTTCACAGTATAAGACTTTGAAACTTCAGAAACCCAAAATCAAGGTCAATAAAAAGAAAGTAAACCAGTATTTTCAAATAACAAAATTACAGATTTTCATTTAATGATAAAATTATGGATAAAGCAAGAGAATGATAAACAATCACATGTCAGGAGCAGGATCCTGACAACTGCAATAGAAATGACGTTCTGAGAACCCATTTCAAGCAAAAAGCATGGTTTTGCTTAGCTCATCCACCAGTCTAGAGAAATTTAAACTGAATTCAAATTATAATGGCTTTTTTCCTAATGCCAAATATTCCATGAATATCAAAAATGATAAAAGCAATTCTACCGTTTCAATTACTCCTTTAAGTTCAGGCAAGGTGGCTCAGGAGAATTTATGAAATTCTCAGGCAAATTTATGAAAAGCATAAACAATAAGACTGCAGTACTAAGGAATTATGATGCACGAATGCAATTAAAAAGCATATTTTCTCAAATAGCAAGAAGTAAAATATTCCTTATCTTTGCTCTTTAGAAAAATAGCATATTTGTGCCCAAATTGACATTCAAATTTAAAACATTTTATTGATAAATACTCAAGAATAAAAAAAATAACCCAGAGAATGAAAAACCTATCAACTACATAATTGTCCTTCTAAATGTGAAGGTTACATCAAGGCTTGTTTTTAAAAACTCAAGGAAGTTAAATAGTTAAAAAGGTGGTAAACCCTTAAATTACTCAAACTTACCCTGAAAACTTAATATTTACAGAATGCCTTAAAAGCTTCTCTTTTAAAATGCATTTTTAAATGAAAATGAAAGCTCCTTTCAGTATTTTCAGCTCCAATATGTGCAGAATCCAAGCTACCTTGTTCATTTGGATTCATGAAAACAAAAAAAATACAGAAAAGAAACAGCAGAAAAAAATGTGCGTGATGAAAATGCTGTAATTGTGGGTGTGATTGAAATACTGTGGTTTCCTACATAACGTTCTTCAAGAGAATTCTGTCATTGTGAACGGCTAGTATAAAGCAATGGACATGATGATGACAACTGCAGTTAGAGGAGTTCCAACTTTGTTAAATCCTTTTCTTCAGATAATTCATTGGTACAATCTTACTTAACAAAATAAAGGAGATACTGAAAAGTTCAAAAAGTACTCTAAGTCAGGGAATTTCTTCCTTTACAAAGCTATACAAATTTAAGTTAGATCTTAATGTTAACATTGGAATCAGGCCAGTGAAATATGATATAAAATCATAATACTTATAATTTGCAAAATGATTGGAAGGAAAAAATTGTCAAATGGTGACATGGGGATAAAGCTGAGCCCAGGGTATCAACAGAAGGAAATGAGAAAAACATAAAAACAATAAGTTCTAAGTTAAGTTAAACTCAATTCAATAAAGTTGCTGAACACACACATAATGCATGTTGAGGGTAGGCAAATACATAGGCCCAAACACTAATACCATCCACACATTTTATAATAAGGCATTGTGCAGGTGCTAAGAACACCAAATAATAAAACTAAAGGTCTTTCTAAGAATTCAAATTTCACTGGGAAGCCAGAACATACACATAGGAAAATGGACTATATAATGCAAGATAACATATGGCCAGAGTCATCTGAGTGGGAGAAAGAATAAATGCATTTCTACAAAGATTCATTGCTAAGACATCTGCCCAGTTATAATCTGGTTTGTGCTGGCTTGTAATCTAGTAGGTGTCATCTGTTCCGGAACCAAAATAAGTTAAAATTTCCACTTAAACAAGATCAATATTGCAAGGAACACTTCCTGTTTTAACACGAACTAGTTTAAAACCTGTTTAAACTTAAAAGATGTTAGCATCATTTTGATTCTGCCTTATTTAAAGTTATCATTTAAATATTTTCTCAGGTGTTTAAATCGAGTTACCTGATTCTTAGAATAGATTCTACATGTAAGAGAGAATACCCCATAGGACCAGTTAAAAATTAGGTAGGTAATGTCCAGTTTAATTTAAACTTGAAATGCCCACATATAGAATTAAATATAGCCCAATATTTGATATGACAAGTAAATGTAATGTGGTATCCAGAATGAGATCCTGGAAAAGAAAAAGAACTTTAGGTAAAAATAAAGGACATCTGAGTAGAGTATGGCCTTTAGTTACTAATATATCAATACTGGTCTGTTAATTGTGACAAATGTACTACACTAATACAAGATATTAATAATAGGGAAAACGGGGATGGGGTATATGAGAACTCTCTGTACTATTTTTGTAACTTTTCTATAAATCTAAAACTAGTATAAAATAAAAAGTTTATTTAAAAATATATGCATACAGAAATACAGGTAATATATGTCAGTATTTGAGAAGATTACTTCTACCAAATTATAAAAATTATCTTATGTAAATTTGGGCAAGTGATTTCACTTGGGCTGTAACACACAAAAGAAACAAAACATGACTGCAAGCTTGCAGGGCTTGGGAAATAATGAGTGCTCAATAATGTCAGATATCCATTATTACCAACAGCACAGGAATATAAGCTCTACAAGCTCAGAGATTTTTTTCTGGTTTATTTTTTTCTGGTATATTTCCAGTGCATGGTACATAGTAGGTATTCAATAAATGGTTATTGATTGACTCATATTTCTTAGCCTTAAAAAAAAAGGGGGGGAGCCTTAACTCATGAATTAGAATTAGATTTGAATAAACACAAAATAGTGTATGAATATAAGATTCCTGTGGAATCTTTAAGAAAAGTATATGATCAGAGAGAATTATCAACTAGTATATGTGTAAGAATGGAAGGATAGTATCCAAGTTAGACAAAACCCCAGCCCTAAAAACTAACCAAAAAAAAGATATTCTAATTTGCAACAAACAACACTGACTGCATATAAATACATACAAGTCAATCTCTCCCGGAGCTCTGGCGTTGGAGCCATATCCACAGCACTTTTGCCATGGCAATTGACTAACGTAGGATCAGCGCCATGGCTGAGTAACAAGGAGCAGACTTCTACACGATTCTTGGAAGCAGCCTCATGGAGTGGAGTAAACTGCCAGAGATCCATAGCATTAACACAGGCTCCATGCTGAATTGAGAAAAAAAGTTTTACGTCAGGAATCATTTTGCTGAATCAGATAAAACTCAGAAGACTTATTTCACTGTAAATTTCATTTATAATTATTTGAAATGTCAATAAGTGTTTTACTTAAACTCAGCTTTTTAAAAAGTTGAATGTTATAAAACTTTTAAGACAATACTTTAAGAAAATTATTCTATTCTCTTAAAAAATGTTATTTGCCAAAAAACAAATGAAAACTCATGACAAGTTAAACAAAGCAAATGCAATTCAGTATTTTTAATTTCTCTTACCTTCAGTAGCAGTTCTGTGACTTCGTAATGTCCATATGAACATGCATTATGAAGAGGCACAAGTCCACTAAGTGAAAAGAGGTAAATTAAAATACTCAAATTTCAAATAATTTATATGTATCCAAGAAATGAAAATGTAATAAATCCCAATAGTTATATTAAAAATATTTTAAAGCACTTAATAATATAATGATAAAAACACCAATTAGAAAAGCATTAGGACAAAAGGAAAAAGGACATGTGCTGACAATTGCATGCTTTCTACATCAAGTATTTACCCAGAAATGTTAATTGATAGAGAATTGAAATATTGAGACCATTTTGTTTCACTTTCAAGGTAATTTCCAGCATAAGAATTAAACACACAAACGATGATACTTCCATTTCAAAGTATCATTCTACCTGAGTCAGACCCACTTTTTGTGGCGTACTTCTCTCGATGACTCACCTATTGTACACCCATCTGTTTTCAGACATACACAGGGAGACAGAGATGTACAAGACATCAGGCATTTGTACCCCTACACTATTGGGACACCATTCACATATGGTACAAAACCTGGCGCAGGCAGGAGAGGAACAGAGCATGGAAAAGAGCAGATTTCAGATGGATGGATTCCCCTTCTGGTAATTGTCCCAAGTACCGAGTTCATTCTTCATTTCTATGTCTCCTGACATGGAAAGGGGCACAGTGAAAGACACCNGCCCCGCCAGGGCTTCTCTTACTTTATGCTGCCAATCAGATGAGTGTAATATGAATCTACTTTATCTGGGTAGTAAAGACAATGATCTTTTAGATCTTAAGGTAAGATAATGAGAAATGTTAGCCCATCACACAGGAAAGCAGACCTGATCCACATGTCCCTGGAAACTACATAGGAACTGGTACAAGTTTTCCAAAATATATCTATTCATAAGTAAATGATGTTACTGTGTTTTTTGTTCTCACCACCTCACCCCCTTATCAACTTTCCTAAGGACCTTTAAGGTTTTCCGAGTTCAGATGTCCAGGATTTCATCAGGAAAAAAAACCAAATTAGAATACTGTATACTTATGATTTTGGTTTATTAATAAGAGATGATCCTTTCATACCAGATGAGTATGATAGTTATATTACTAGATTATCAGAATTCTCAATTTGATTTATCTGTCTTTCTGAAATGCAACTTGAGTTGAAAACTAGTAATTGCAATTGAGAGAAACAAAGTTTAACTTCAAATAATAAAATTGCAATAAAATTAAACTAATTTAGGAAATTATTATGAGAAGCATCCTTAATAGGTAGGAAATTTGAAAAAAAAGTCAAATTAAAGTTGCAAATATTCTTAAAATGCTACACAACCTGTAAAGAAATGGGATATATGACTTTGTCCAGTGCTCAACAACTTCAGCGTGATTTTGAAAACAAAGCACAAGAATCATGAGCAAAGCCATTAAAGGAAATAAACCGATACACCTACCCTTTGTCTTTTGCATGAACGTCAGCACCATGCTGAAGAAGCAGCTGAACAATCCGAACTCTGTTGTAGCCCGCTGCTAGATGTAAAGGAGTAGACTACGAAACAGAAAGAAAAACACATCCCTCTCTTCAGGTAAATAATTCTTGCTTTGCCATTTAATCTATATTTACTTAGATTTAAACACAATGAATGTTAACGTACACAGAAAATACTGAGTCAAAGTGCCAAAAATTCCTATTTCCTAATTGGATGGGAGACAATTCACTCATCTCAGGAGTAAATTCTAACTTCAGTGCCATCGATCTATTTCTCCTACTTGTTTCTCAAGGCCTTCAGTAATCAAGCCCTGCCCCAAATCTCTACATTATTTCTTACTTCTTTCCAACATGAACCACTCTCGCTGTTCTGGGAAGGCATGCTAGGGCTCATAATCCTTATAACTGGAAACATTCTTCCTTATTCTACTTAAATCCTGTCCACCTTTCAGTTCTTAAGCTTTCAATCCTAATTCCATCATAAAAACTTACCTAAAAAGCTAGGCTCTCAAAATTTCTCTTTAATAGGAGAAGTTGAAAAGCATCCCTAAATAACTTATTTGAGAAACTTTAGTGGAAACAAAAAGGACAATGGACCATATTCATTCTATGTGGCTGCCTGCAATGGGTCAAAGCAAATTTGCTACATTGGATGCAATGGAATATGCCAAGATAGTATTTAATTCTTCTATTTTATGTACTACACATGCAGTATAAATACAAGAGGAAAACGTAGTTTCTTCACAACTAATTTCTGCCACATTTAAACTTGAACTAAATTTTAAAAAGGTTTTCTGCTTCTGCTCAAAGTTAATACAGTAATTAAAATAATCAAACTTCTCACTTTTTAAAAAATCAAAAATAACATTTTCATTAAAAGTTTCTCTATAACCATAACAATTTTCCCACTTTTGCTCATTTATTTAAAGTTTAAATACTAGAACAGCTTTTCACACAGGGTCTAACATACTTGCATGTACTGTCATTTTTCCTGTTTTCTATTTGGGCCTTGGGATTTAATAAGATTTTCAATTTATTTTCTTTATAATACATACTACTTCCAGATGTCAAGATACAAAAAATCTACTAAATACTGTATTATCTGTTACTGCTTTCAAGGCACTCCATACATTTTATGCATTCTGACAGTCTCTAAGTTTAGGAAATATTTTGAGCAATAAGCAGCTAATAATGAGGAGACCATAGATTACAAGAGAGTCCTGAAATAGGAAGTCAAAAAACCTTATTATATTCCTGGATCTTATGAAACTGTGGAAGTCATATTACCTACATACCTCAGTTTCTTCATGTGTAAAAGATAAAATCACCCATCCTAGCTATCTCAAAATGCATTAAAATAAAGTTTTCTCCCATATAAAAGCAACTTTAAAATGTGAAATGCCATATAAAAATAGACGATTAAAATTTTTCTATCATCAAACAACATGCTCATCCAAGTTTTTGCTTTTAGACATGTCAAATGTTATTGCAAATGATACCTCCAGGATGTAGCAAGTTATTTTCAGGACTGTTTCCCCCCTTCCTTTAATATTTTAAAGATGTCATTTCACTGTCTTCTGGCTTGCATTGTTTCAGACTAGAAATCTGCCAACATCTTCATCTTTGTTCCTGTTACATGTGGATTAATCCTTTCTCTTTATCAATGGCTTTAAGCAATTTGATTGTGATGTACCTTGGTAGAGTTTTCTTAATTTTTTCTGCTTCGCCCCCCCCCCCCCCCTTCCTCTCTTCCCTCTCCAACCCAAAGCTTCTTGAACTTGCTATTTATAGGTTTCACCAAATTTGGAAAACTTTTTCTTTCTTCTTTCCCACCATTCTCTCCTTCAAGGTCTCCAATTATACATATATTAGGTTGCTTTCAAAGCTTGCTTTTAAACTTTGTTAAGCAGGACTAAGCAGCCTTTAGTTTAGGACTAATTTTCCTTTTTTAGTGAAAGAAAATGACCCTTTTGAGTAATCTACAGTATCTAATGATTTATGAGATTTTTCCACTCTGGCTGGTGGCAACAAAAATGATTCCAGACTGTGTGAGTTGCTAGGATTGCTACCTTTAATCTTTTTCAGGTGGTTCTTTCATGAGCCTCAGACAGTTTCCTCATACCCACATTAATCAGTACTCGGCTGAAGACAGAAAAGGGACCCTTTGCAGATCTCTGGAGCTCTCTTTTCTGTGCAGCTCTCCTTTTCCTGGTCCTCCATCCTGCTAACTCTTGCCACCTTGGTCTCCTCCTGGGTTCCCCTCCCTGAGTTAATACTTTCTAGGCAGTAAGCTTGAGCAATTACACAGCTCAGCTTATTTAATTTTTGTCTCTCAGGAATCACTGCCATATACTGCCTGATGTCCAATTTCTGAAAACCATTGTTTCATATATTTTGTCCATCTTTTAAAAAAATGATTGCTGTTTCAGGAAGGAAAGTAAGACTCGTCCCTGTTACTCCACCTTGGACCGTTTTCAAGACTGAACTGGACTTGACACTGCAGTTGGTACGTTTCCTCCATAGACAATGATGGCTAACTGGTCAGTAAGTCAGTCAACTCTTTTAAAGGACACAGGTGACATTTAATATTATACGCAAAAAATGACAGTCTTTGCTAATACACAAAAAGATTTTCCTTTTTCACACAAGTATCTTTTAAAATTTTTATTTGTATAGAGTTGATTCAATAATAGTTTTTATTTCTTTTCTTGAAAATGAACAAAGTCCCTAGATGAATGCACGCGCGCGCGCACGCACACACACACACACACACACACACACACACACACACAAACATATTGTTTGTTTAGGACAAAACATAAAAAATATCTAGTTTCTGGATTTTTAAAAATCATTTTGACACTAAAAATAAATTAGAATGCTTTAAAAATGGTAATATATTTAGTTTTTAAACTGCTGAAATTTAAATAAGAAATATATTAGAAGGCTCTGTCACTGACAAGTTAGAAAGCGATAGGAGGCTTGAAATAAAGCAACTATGAAAAAAGGGAGTTATGGAGTCAAAAACTGTTAGGAAGCAGAACTGATAGAATCTAATAACTGAATGATGTAGGTAGTAAGGTTTATAGAAGTTTCAGCTTGGAAATATTAGTGACAGAAGGAAAAAAGGAAGGAAACAAGGGAGGGAGGAAGAAAGGAGAGAGGAGGGGAGCCCAGAGGGAAAGAATTTGAGGTCTGGGTTTATTGAATTTGAAGTGGCTATCTGATAACATAGTGCGAAGAGGACTAGAAGTCAGGAGAGGTGAAGGCTGAACACAAAGTTGGTCATCACTAGCACCCATTTAAAATATTTTAGCATCTGCCATGTATCTGGCACCATATTAAGTGCTAGGGATAGCATGGTAAACAAGAAAGGCCCCGCAATTTGCCCTTAGGGGCTTTCTTGTTCCTCAAAATCATAAAGTCCCTAAATGAAATACATATATTAATAAAATAATTTTTTATTCATAAGGACAAAAGATGAGGAAACCAAAGTCTAGTTTCTGAGCAGTCAACTAGAGAAAGCTGACAAATACAATGAAATGTGACAAATACTGTAGTAAGGAAGTTCAGGATGTCATGGGAGGCTCGAGGATGCATACCTAAACCACTCTCTACAGGTTAGTAGGAGGGAGTGGGGTCAGGGAAGATTCTCAGAACTGTTTCCTGAGGGGAGACTTGAGGATAAACAGAAATCATTGAGGCAAAAGGATGGGGAACTTTATTCCAAGTAGTGTGGAGAGCACACATTAATATCCAGTGGACATGGTATAACTGAGGAACTAAAAATAAAAAATTCAGTGGCTAAGTGTAGTATGTGAGATGGGGGAAGATGCTAAGAGCAACAGGAAACCCCTGAAGAACTTTAAGCAGAAAATTATTTAAGACTGGGGTTTTGGAAAGATCAATCTAGTTACTCTATAGATAATAAATCGGTGAGAGAGAGCAAACCCAATTACAGGAAGATACAAATAGAGGACTGAAGGACTAATCTAGGAGACAGATAATGACAGTGTCAGTGAGCAGAATGGTAGCAGCACCCAAGTAGAGGTAGCTGAGCTGTGGGAGTGGATGAATTCACAGGGAGAGTGAGCGCAGAACAAGATGGATGAGATTTTCTAAGTAGTCATTGTAATGTGGATGCTCATTATGCAAACCAGTATCACTAGAAGGCACATAAAAAATCTGTAAAATACATGCAATAAATTTGAGGAAATGGTAGAAAGCAAAAAAAGAAAAGTATAAATTGAGAACAAAGGATGATTTAAACAAGCTTACACCACTAAGAGCCCAGAAGTTTCTCCTCCTCTAGAAAAACATTTACAACTAAACATTATATACCAAATGATATCTTCTGATGCAAAGCAATGAAAATCATGGGGCTAAGACTAAATTTAGTGACTGGTTACCACATAGTCCCAACTTTACACCCCAAGTGCCAAATGGCAAAGCAGTGATAAAAGGAATTTTCTAATGCTAAGATAATTCACTTCAGAGTGTAACTTCAGTTTTGAAAAAATAAAGCAGGCCCATTTGTAAAATACTCACACGTTATTTTATAATTTTGTGGTGGTTGTAAACTTGTAAACACAAGAATCAAACATTTAAGACATTATATGGGGAACAGCAATCATCCAATTTGTATACCTCAGAATTATTCTTAAAACAGTTTTTTGTTGGGAGTATTTTAAAAGTCAAACATGTACAGTGATAAAGTGTGGAACTGAAAATACAAAAACTCTATTTAAAAATTAAAATATCATTCTGCTATGACAAATGTTATTTACTAATATTTTCATATTGTAAATGTTTACAGAAAAAAATCCTTACTTAAAGAAACACCATAATTCAAAGTTTTCTTCTTGGAACCAGGCCATAAAAAGACACAAAAAAACAACAAAAAAAACAATCCCCCCACCATCTTTTACGGTATAGATTTGCGGCACAGTATAAACCATTTAAGGTAGCTTTAACTTATCCCACACACACGCATAGCTAAAATAGTGACAACTGACAACCCTGTTATGAATCTGTGGATGCAACTTTAACATAAGTCCAAG